GCTACTTTTTGGAGCTGAATTCGAATTTAGCAACCATTTGAACATTTACGAAGTAGTTTTGGCACCTTCGTAACATGTTACGAAGCTGTCAGAGGCGGTTGACACGTACTACGAATACCCGTCACGACCCCTACTGGTTGACCTGACCTGACCTGACCTGACCTGGTCAAAATGCTTTAGGACATCATCTGTGATCAAAACTAACAGGATATTCGTGATCAGCACCCCGAAAAACCCCTTAGCAGCCACACTTTACGACTTTCTAACAGGTCCCGATTTTCCCGACTTTGGGTCATTGACCTGACCTGGAAGGTCAACCAATGACCTAGGACCTTAAAATTGGGTATCATCGGCTTCCTCTCGTCACGGGCAACACGCTCGTTTTTTCCGCGAAGCTCTAGCTCGATCAGGGGCCAAACGGCAAGGGGGGGGTCCAACCGACCCCCCCCCCCTACACATTAGAAGCTGGCAAACGCCGCACACATGCGAGGGTTAAAACTAACTGGGGGCTTTGAAAATGTGCATTACAATGGAGGGAGGAAATTTAATTTATAAAATGACTTTCGAGTCATTAGAAAGAACATACTAGCAACGCAAAACCAGGAGGGTATACATAAAAATCAACTGTGGTTTTAGCGTGGTTTTAGCAAGCCTGAAATAATCAATTGGTCAGCATGTTACACCAGTACAGCACTTGGGGAAAGATGAAAACTGCTATTCTGGCGCCGGGAGCGATCTCCAACTATCTCAAGCATACAGAATCGTGATTTGATGCACTCCTTGCAAGGTTAGATGAGTCACTTTTGCAATGTTGACCTTGCGTGACGTCATTTATGACGTCATCAAGGTCATATTCGTTTTTCGTCAATAACCTTGATCAAATTGAGCTAGCGAGCCGGGAAAGCCATCAATGGACTCAGGAAGACCTGCCGAATCGAATGATATGCGACATGACGTCCTTCGACCAACTTCGTGACCTGGGGGTGCTGACCTGACCTTGACCTGAGGTCAAAACCCTAAGTTGACCTGACCCGAACAAAAAGTATATCATTCGACGCGCCTGAGCGAGGCGAACACGATGCAGCCAAAATCGCGGCTCTGCGGCCATTTTTTGCGAAGTTATTCACCAAAAACTGAACCGGAACTTGGGGCACTTGACCTGACCTCAGAGGTCACCGGTTGACCTAGGACCTTAAAATCGGGTACCAATCTCTGCGTCTCGTAACGGCGCACACGCTCGTTTTTTCCGCGACGCGCTAGCTCCACCAGGGGCGAAACGGCGAGGGGGGGGGGTCGTACCCGCCCCCCCCCCTCGGCCGGCGCGTATGTAGAAAACCAATAGGTCCGGCGAGGGCTAACCGAATATGAAGTCTCAGCTATGAAGTAACAAGGACAAACTCACGACACAACAATAACTATATAACGGACAATAAATCTTCCATAATTTTCTGGGAAACCCTGTAGAATATAGAACTGACTGAGTGTACTCACTTTGCATGCCTGATTTTGTCTTGCATGGTGGCCATCTTCTCGTTGTCCCCAGCATCAATAGCGAGGGCCTCGTCCATTAGATCAAGGGCCTTTTGGTAGCCGTCGATTGCCTGCAGCGGTGATGCAGAGACAAAGCAAAACATCAGTACAGACTACAGAGATAGCTACAGCCAGGTATAGTTCGTTTTTTTTTCTCTCTAAGTCCAACCCTCACTGCAAGCATAGGCGTAGGAACGTTTTCGAAAGTGGGGGGGGGGGCAGGCTCCCAGAGGCCTAAAACCTAACCTACCCCCAAAATCCAATTTCTCCTCGGATTTCGGCCACTTTGTTTTCGCAAACATGCTCAGAGGTAAAAAAAAATCGAGACAAAAAAGTGTTTCAAAAATTTCAGGGAGACTATCGTCCAGAAACACATCCTGATGGACGCGTCGCCCTGTCCTCCGCAGCCGTTGGCACCTATGCAAATTACAGAGGCATCCACAAATTTATTTATTACGAGCGAGTGTGAAACGTGCAAAGCGAGTCTATTCAATATACCTATAAAAAAAAAAACAGAATGAACGGCCCAGTTTGACTCAGGCCTGTAACGTTTTTAACCCGCGCACCGACGGGGGGGGCGGATATCCCCCCCCCTGAGGTTTTTCGCGAATAGCGGGAAAACCGCGGCGCGTAGCGCCCCGAAATTTGGTATGACTATTCCCTCATCAAGTTTACACATGGTGTGCAAGTTTGAACCTCCTACCTTTCAAGGTCAGGTCACCAGGTCACTTTGAATGACCCAACCTCAAGTCACTTTTTTGCAACTTTGTCACCGTGCCAGAGCTACAGTAGATGTTGGAGGCCTTTGAAAGTCGCAGGATGTTATTAGGTCATTAGTAGCTACAATTTGTATATCTCGGAATTTTGATATCGGTGACCTAAGGTCAGGTCAATTTCGCGACCTCCCCATTATAAGTCAATGGGGGAAAAATCAACTCCCTGTTTTTACCACTAAAACGGGTCGGAATGGCCCCATATATCATACATCACTTCATATACGATCAACCTTCACTACCTTGACGTCTGTTTTGCTGTTGGGCAGCTGTGAGGTCATGTGACGTCATCAAAGGTCACCAAAGGTTTTTGGCCAATAACTCCGTACAGGAACAAGATACAGACGCGTGGATGGTCTCATTGTGTTCAGCTCGTCAAGACGCATCGAATGATATACATGATGACCTCGAGGTCACGTGACCTGAGGTCAACCTTTGACCTTGACCTTTCGAGGTCAACATATATATCATTCGATGCGGATTGACGAGAGGATCACGATGCTGCCCTTAGTTTGTTCCTATCTTGACTAATTCGAAAGTTATTCGAGAAAAACTCTCCATATCCAGCGCCGCCATTTTGACTTTTTCGACCCCTGTGACGTCATCTTTGACCTGACCTGAAAATGACCTTAGTAAAAATTGTAGATCTTGACCGTGCGTATCCGATGCCGTTTACCGCTTGTCGCTATCTTGCTTCGTTCTCGAGATCTCAGGGGGGGGGGCGGTCATCCGCCCCCCCCCCGTCGGTGCGAAGTTGGCGCAGACCCCCGTCGGTGCGCGGGTTAAAAGGTTTATATATCAGCGACCTCTGCAACTGGGCTGATTGACTTATTAGAGGCCGGTGTGGGACCTTTAGAGGCCGGTTTGGGCCCTCCGAGACCAGTACAGGGCCTGCAAAGAGCAGTTTGAGACCTTTAGAGGCCGACTTGGGTCGTCAGTGGCTAATGTGGGTCATTACAGGCCAGCATGGGCCCTCAGAAGTCAGTGTCGGACCCTAAAATACCGCCATGGGCCGGCGTTGGACCCCAGAGGCCAGCAGAAGGTCCTCAAAAACCAAGATGGGCCTCAGAGGCCGGCATCGGGTCTTCAGAGTTAAGAATCCAGTGTGAGGCCCTAAGAGGCTAATGTGGGTCCTTAGAGGCCAGCATGGACCCTTAGAGGTCAGTGTGGGACCCTAAAGGACCGTCATGAGCCGGCGTTGGACCCCTAAGGCCAGGATGAGCCCTCAGAGGCAGTGGCGGCGGAATAGGGGGTGCAGGGGGTGCAGCTGCACCCCCATCGAAAAACATGGGGATGCAAACATATCTTTTTGCACCCCCAAAATCCGTACAAGGGGCCCGTCGCACCATCCAATACATTTTCTCCTGAAAACTAGTGATCGGGAAACGAACACTGATGTGGAATCATCCGGGATGTCCAATTACGGTCAGGAGCGCCCCATGCTAGTCTTTGGGGCCCCACATCGGCTAGAAGTGTCCCGAGCCGCGTTTGGTGCTCCATGTGGCACCTGAGGGCCCCCACGACGGCCTTAGAGCCCAGAGGGCCCTTTTATGACGATCTCTGAGGGCTTCCACGACGACCTCTGTCCCCTGGGGACCTATAGCGACCACTAAGGACCCTCATGACGACCTCTGATGATCCTCTTGAAGGCTTATAAGGGCCATCACAACAGCTTCTGAGGACCCTAGGACGATCCCTGAGGGGCTGACGGCCCTGACGACGACCTCTCTGGGCCCTCACGATGGTCTCTAAGACCCAACGCAAGCTGAGCTCCAAAGGCCCACGCTGGCGTCTGAGGGCCCCACGACGGCCTCTGAGGGCCTCGACGCAGGCAGGCTCCAGGGCCATGATGACCTCTGAGGAAGTGCAGACTTATCTTCCTGTAACAATGTTTTTCGGAAGTCCTCGTCTTATATTTCTCGGAGCCTCAGCTGCAACCTGCGAATGCCTAGAGCTCCATATACCGGGTGGCCCAGAAAAAACGTTCCCAACTTTAAATCAATATTTCTCAGAAAGTGATAAAGATACAACATTGAAACTTCGAATAGTCAATGCGGCACACATTTTCAGTAAATGGTGTGATTTTCATGGTGTTCGGTAAATAACTTTTTAAACGGTTCGAGTTTCAAGCATGCCATGTAAAAATTACTTTTTTGCTCCGATGTTTACTAAAAAAATGTGAGTGAACGGGTCACTTTCACCCCGCGGCACCGCGGCCTAGAGCCATGACTTCTACTGGCAGCTAGTCCCATTGATGGTTCGGGTCTCAGGATGACACATTCCCTCAGGCAACCACGATGGCTCTGTGCCAGCGGCATCGGAAGAAGTTTCCAGTTTTCTAACCATCTTGTGGCTCAAATGCTTTCCTGGCTGACATTCCTGGGAAAAGGTAGCTTTTCAACCATCTGCTGGCAATGTTGTTTTTCATAAGCTATTCCATGTGGTCTTCTGGCACAGGAACCAGTCTGCTTTAGTTTGTTTTCTGTGGTATCGTGATCCTGTGTTGGGAACTTTCCATCATGCCGTGCCTGTGTGCGCCGGGCGGCGCCGGCCGAGTAGCGCGGGCGCGGACTCGAGCGCGCGGACCAATCGGCAGCCGCCACGGCCGCGGTGACCCCGCCGAGCTGACCTGCGCGGCGGTCGGGTCAGAGAGTGCGCGCGGTGCGGCCGGTCGAGGCCGATGTGTCTTTCTTGGCGCTTATTTGAACTCTTTCGTTACGTATTTCATTCTTGCTTTTACGTTAATATACTACATTGGCGACGAGGATCAAGAATTAAGTTAATAGCGCTCAAGATATCAAGATGTATCAGGCACCAGCTCCGCCGGAGTTCCTCTCCAAGCCGGGACAGCGTCCTGGTAACTGGCAGGCGTGGTTCGAGGACTTCATCATGTACGGTGAGGCCAGCGGGTGGTCTGATTGGTCTGACCTCCGCAGGACGGCGTTTCTGTTGACATCTGTCGGTGCAGAGGCACGTCGTCTGTACCGCGCTGCAGTCTCAGTTGACGATGCTGACCTTAAGAGCGAAGGTAGCGTGTCTGATGATCATTCCGGAACGCACCTACGTTTTGATAAGGCCGTAAGCGTTCTCAAGAAACTGTTTGCCAGTGACGCTGATGTTCGTTCGGCACGTTTGCAGTTTCGACAGATTAAGCAGCGTCATGGAGAGTCCAATGTCATTTTTCTGGCAAACCTGAGAGAGGCAGTCGCAAAATGTAATTTTGGGGAACTGACTGATGAAATGCTGCGCGATGCTTTCATTGAAGGATGCATGTCTGATCCGTTACGTGACAAACTGATCATGACTGACCGACTGACCCTCTCCCAACTGGAGGAACTGGCCGCCGCGCACGATCGTGGTCTGCAGCGGAAGGCCTTGCTGCAGGGCACCGTGAGCTTCCAGTCACCAGCACCAGTGGAGGTCGCGTTCGCCGGACGCCGGACCAGCGCCCCAGCGCGGAGGACACCACAGAAACAGCTTGCAGGTGGGAAGTCTGGGACATGTCGGGCGTGTGGTATGAAGGGCCACTGGGCTAAGGATAAAGTCTGTCGAGCCAAGTCTCAGAAGTGTTGGAAGTGTGGGTCTCTGGGCCACTTCAGCAAAGGGACCCTCCCACCTTCAAAAAAGTTAATGAATTGGCATGAAAGTGATGTCGCTCGGTTCAGAAAGTGCAAAAACGAATATCTACCAAATTTCATCGAAAAATATTCACCGGTTTTCAAGATATTAGACTTTTACTTTTGTTTACTTTTTGGGATCTCCGCTGTTCCTAGCGACTTTATTTGAAAGTGCGGCATTTGTTGCGCGCAAAGCAGCATATACCACCGCGTGCTTCAAAACGTTTTAGTCAAACATTTGACGGACGTTCGAAAGCCTGATGACGTCATCAGATTCCCGTAATGGTTAAGAGATAGGGACCACGCTGGTCCCACCCTGCTGGTAAAGGGAAGAAATTTCTTGAACACCATAAAGCTGCGGGGGTTGCGACCAGGATAAATGGTGGTTTCTGAGCCTGGCCGCAAACTTGGCTATCTCAACTCAAAACTAATGTTAAGGTGGGAGGGTCCCTTTCAGCAACTGTTGTCCCAACCAGAGTAAGAGTGTCGATGCTGTACAAATTCTGTCAGTGTCTGCCCAAGATGTCAATGCTGTTCGTGAGGTGCCATGTCCGTACTACACCGTGACCATCAACAGACACCCAGTGAGGATGCTAGTCGACACCGGTTCTGCGGTAAGCATCGTTCCAGCGAGGCTCTACCACCAGAACTTCAGCAGCGTTCAGCTGCGGCCAGCAGGTCCGCTGTCTCAGTGGAACGGCAGCGGCATCAACGTCCTGGGGAAGATGACTGTGACCGTCCGTGGATCTGACTCTGGAGAGGTGCTCGCGGACATCTACGTCGCGGTGTGACAGCTGCCACTCATGGGCAGGGACCTACAGCAGCAGCTGGCACTGACCGTGCGCCACGGCAACGTGGTCTGTCAGGTGAGCAGTCAGGTGCTGCCAGCGATCCGAGGGTACGTGCACAAGGTACGTCTTCGACCTGACGCCGTCCCCGTGCAGCTGCCGCTGAGGACAATGCCTTACGCTCTGAGAGATGAGGTAGGTGCCCATCTGGAGGACTTGGAGCGGCAGGGTATCATTGAGCGAGTGGATCGTGCTGCATCTCCATGGCTCTCACCGATCGTAGCCATCCGTAAAAGGGGAGGTAAAGGTCTACGGATTTGCCTCGACTTGTCAGAGGTGAACAGAGCTGTCATCTCAAATGGTCATCCAATTCCTGACATGCAGGAGATGCTGGAGAAGCTGCGTGGTGCGAAGTGCATGTCGACTCTAGACATGAAGTCGGCGTACCACCAGTTGGAGCTCCACGAGTCGTCCAGGGACCTGACGGCGTTCATCCACGACGGCCAGACCTGGAGGTATCGAAGATGTTGCTTTGGGTTGAAGAGCATGCCGCAGTGCTTCCAGAAGCTGATGGAGTGTGTGCTGACCGGTGTTCCAGGGGTGCATGTGTACCTCGACGATGTGATCGTCACTGGGGGCAGTCGGCAAGAGCACGATGACCACCTCCAACAGGTTCTTCGGCGACTGGAGGACCACAACATCACGCTGAACCGTCAGAAGTGCAAGATCGGAGTGATGTCGGTGGACTTCCTGGGTTTCACCGTGACTGACGGCAGGATCTCCGTGTCGTCTGAGCGCGTCCAGGGCCTGCGTAGCCTGGCGGTGCCGAAGTCGAAGAAGGAGCTGCAGGCTGTGCTGGGTTCCCTGGGCTTCTACTGTAAGTTTGTTCCAGGTTACAGTACCCGCGTCGAGTCTCTCAGACGCCAGCTGAGGAAGGATGCTCCAGAGTTCGCCTGGACTCCAGAGATGGATGCGGCGTTCAACGACGTCCGGCAGGCGATCCTCGACTCTGACGCCCTGTCGATGTTCGACCCCAGCCTGCCGACCGTTGTCACGACGGACGCCAGTGACGTCGGCTTGGGAGCCGTCTTGAGCCAGGTGCATCCTGAGGGCGAGAGAGTCGTCGCCTTCGCTTCGTCCACGCTCAACGCTGCACAACGGACGTACAGTGTCACAGAGCGTGAGGGGTTAGCGTGCGTCTGGGCCTGTGAAAAATGGCACAAATATCTGTGGGGTCAAGAGTTTGTGCTACGTACCGATCATGCTGCCTTGAAATCGCTGTTGACTGTCAGGGGTGTTGGTCGTGCCGGCATGAGGATGTCTCGCTGGGCGGTGCGCCTGATGAACTACTCGTTTGCAGTGGAACACGTCAAGGGCCAGCTGAACCCGTCTGACGGCCTCTCCAGACTGCCGGGACCGGAGCAAGAGGTCGAGGATGACGAGTCCGAGCTGGTGGCCTGCCTCGCCGACGAGACGTCAGCCGTCAGCCGTGAGGAGCTAGCAGTAGCGGGACGGGAAGACGCTGAGGTAAGGGCCCTGATGGACCAGATCCCTCGGGAGTGGCCCCGTCGCTTCAGTGATGTTGATGACGTCCTCAGGCCGTATTTCCGCTGTAAGCAGGAGCTAGCTATCGACGGTGAGCTGGTTTTGCGTGGTGAACGGATCGTGGTTCCCACTGTGCTCAGACCTCGGTTGCTGACGCTGGCGCATGAATCCCACCAGGGCATCGTCCGGACCAAACAGCGGCTTCGAGCGCTGTTCTGGTGGCCCGGAATGGACGCAGCGGTGGAGACGACCATCAAGGAGTGCCCAGCCTGCATCGTGGCCGACAAGACGGCGAAGACGAGGTTCGCACCACTCAGTCCTGTTCCCCTGCCAGCTGCAGCCTGGGATAAGGTGGGACTTGACTTCATCGGCCCGATGGTAGGACCACCAAATCAAAGGTATGCGATAGTCCTCGTAGACTATTACTCGAAATGGCCAGAGATGGCGTTTGTCCGTGAACCGTCAAGTGATGCTGTCATTGACTTTCTGCTGACTGTGACGTCACGGGAGGGATGGCCAAGGGAGGTTGTCACTGATAACGGTACTCACTTCACATCTGTGAAGTTTGGACAGTTTCTGAAGAAGCATGGTGTCAAGCATGTCAGAGTGTCACCGTATCACCCTGCAGGTAGCGGTGCTGTAGAGCGTTTGAATCGTGACATCAAATCTGCTCTCCAGATGGCGGACCAGCAGTCGGTGGACCGCCGACAGTACCTGCAGTCCTACCTCCGCACGTACCGAGCGACGCCGCACGGAACGACCGGCCGGAGCCCGTCCGAGTTGCTCCACGGCCGGCAGATGCGGACGGACCTGGACAGCGCAGTCGCACCGGAAGGTGGCAGCACCGGAGACGCCGCCTTGCGACAACGGGTCAGCCGAAAGCAGCGCCAGATGAAGCGACACTTCGACAACAGGAAGCGGGTCTGCACCGTCTCCTGAGTGCACTGGAGTACCGGAGGCCGAGGTGGACCTGCCCTGTCAGCCAGTCACAGACTCTGCTGCGTCGTCGACCGTCGGGCTGCGACGGCGAGCGCCAATCGCAGTCGACGCCGCTGCCAGCGCTGCCACTGGTGACGTGACGTCGGAGCAGTCGTCCGTCGCCGGAGCAGCCGCAGCGCCTAGCCTACCTCACGACGCTGGCGATGGTGCTGTTCATCGTGCTGGTGGAGATCACCAGGCGGGAACCGGGACGACGACGACCGAGCGTGCGGGTGACGAGTCGGCGTCACCTTCGGAGCCGGCTTCGCCGTATCGAACGCGTAGTGGACGTGTCGTACGTGCGCCGGATCGCTTTGTTTAAGGGGGGGGGGAGAAAAGTGTGGTATCGTGATCCTGTGTTGGGAACTTTCCATCATGCCGTGCCTGTGTGCGCCGGGCGGCGCCGGCCGAGTAGCGCGGGCGCGGACTCGAGCGCGCGGACCAATCGGCAGCCGCCACGGCCGCGGTGACCCCGCCGAGCTGACCGGCGCGGCGGTCGGGTCAGAGAGTGCGCGCGGTGCGGCCGGTCGAGGCCGATGTGTCTTTCTTGGCGCTTATTTGAACTCTTTCGTTACGTATTTCATTCTTGCTTTTACGTTAATATAGGTACTACATTTTCCTTATCCGGTCGATTTACTGTTTGATCTACTGAAAGGAGGGTAATCAGCAGTAATCCATGCATCGTGCCACTCCTGCTCGAAACATGCTTTGGTGTTGAAACGAATGACATCCATGAGCACCATTTTGACTCAGTATTTGAATATTTGGCACATAAGTGAGACAAAAATATTTAACATAAGAACATACGTGTTGGTTTCATTCACGTGCTCCATTTTTTATTCTTTTTTATAACATGGGACGTCTAACCCAATCATCACTATCGTTTCACATCGGCAAAAAAAGCAAAAAGGTCTTGCTTAATTCAACTCAAGATTGCCAGCGTGAAAATGATGGTATAGTGTTATTATTTGGCATACCAATGCGCAAAGAAATGACGCAAACTTGATGAAAATTTTGGCTCGCTATTTGTACTCGTATTTGATATACAGGCCTCCAAAGTTCGGAACGTTTTTTCTGGGCCACCCGGTATACCCGGTTGCCTGGTTGGCGGCCGCTCCATTCCTGGCAACGAAATGGCTAAATGTGCTTGTTTCAAGTAAAAAATATAGCACCAGAGACCGTACGAATGTGTTTGCTATGATTTGATCCTTACGGATTTATATACTATTTATTAAGGAACAGCCTCAAAATCCTTAAGGATTGTCGCTAAGATCCTTAATTTTTGCTAACAATCTTTAAGGAAGAAGCACAAAGTCCTTAAAGATTATTACCAATGTCCTTATTCCTTACGGATTTTCCGCAGAATCCTTAAAGGTAGTGTGCCACCTTTGAAAGATTTCCCATTTTATTTTTCCTAGGATAAGAAGCTTCTGTTTTTACCTAATATCGCAAAAAAAAATCAAAAATGGGCCTGGAATAGTGCCTTTTTCGCCTAAAAGTTTATCGGTTTTTAGATATGTATAACAACTGTAGTGGGCTCACCTGCAAACAGGCGTCGGCAACAATCGCGAATGCGGCGCACTTGTGACAATAAGCAAAGGTCATTATAGTGTTACGACCATACGACGTACGGGAATGAGTTATCAGCTGTCTAATCGTAGACAACACAATGTCGAGCCTTAAACTGTAAGCCCGTATTGGTATTGTTTCTTTTATTTGGCTGTCGAACATTATTTATGGTTTGAAATATGATTTTATGTAAAATAATTGATATGAAAAAGCCGTCTCATAAGTTATGACCCCATTTCACCACACGCAAGTGGCAGAAATGACAATGATCAGCTGACGCATTTTTCTTGGCCGAAGTCAGAGCGCGCAGCCCGACGCACCACCACCGCACCACAAAGTATGAGCAGAAGCCGCGCCCAAAGCCAGGGCCCCGGTAACGTGAGGTAGCCGAGTCGGGGCAGCGTGCGCTGACCCAAGCCGGGGCCGCAGCTTTGGGCGCGGTCTACCGCATCCCCGCGGGCAGCCCCGGGCTATCACATGACACCGGGAGGACGCTCGGCTCCGGCTTGGGTCAGCGCACGCTGCCCTGACTCGGCTACCTCACGTTACCGGGGCCCTGGCTTTGGGCGTGGTCTACCGCACCACCTAACAGGCGTGTTCGAAACCGCAGGAGCTGATGATGAACGGGTTTATCGAAACTTGATTGGATGAGCATATCGGTAATAGCGATTTCAGTGTGTGCATTTATTGTTCATAGTGGTGTGAAATGTGGTTGGGGTACGACCGACAACCCGTCGGGGCGAATTTCGCACTGGGGTACTCAAAATTTGAAGAATTTAAGACGTTTCCATGAGTTTTGAAGGTATGGATAAGTTCTAAAAAACCGGTTCTCCTTATCTGGGCCATTAACTCCATACGGTCCAGGAAAGCTGGCACACTACCTTTAAGGAATTTCTAACAAAATCCTTAAGGATTGTGAATCAATTTCGTACAAGGATTTTGTTAAGGATCGTCCTGAAGAAATACATAGGATTGTCCTTAAGGATTTTTTCACTAGGGATGCTAAAAAAAGAACGTCTCGATTGGCCCATCTGCAGCAGTTGCTGAGATGTGAGCCACTCAAAAGTGTGACCACGGCCGCTAATACAAAAAAAAAAGAAAAAAACATTGCGCTACCAGGCGGTTACCAGTGCGCGTTTGCCGTCCATCTCGGCCGAGAGGGCGCTGTCGGTGACCAGGTAGCAGTGGTCGTGCAGCCGGCTGAACGTCTCCCAGGCGCTCTCGGCCGGCGGCGCAGACACATCGCGGGCGCGCGCCGGACGCGCCGGACGCGCAGGACGCGCAGGAGCCTCCGCCATCACTGAAAAACACAACACAGCCACGCTCTGAACACGCTCCCACGAAACTTGAAAGTAGGGGAGAGTGGGGAAAGATGCCCAGGGTTTGACTATGTCATATATTATTCGAAAATGACGATCGGAAAGCCAAAACTTGGAGTTTCAACGGAAGCCGACATCATTTTTCTCCAAATATATCACACTTTCGTGCCTGAAACATGATAACTTTTTTGCTATTAAGCATTTTCCTGAAGAAGTGAAAGGGGGCATCTTACCCCACAGGGTGGAAAAGACGCCCCCTGGCGTTGGGTAAGATGCCCCCTGCACTATAAGTGACAAAAATAGGCACGTGAATCGCCTGAACGAATCAGTAGTCCCTTCAAGCCTGCAGTAGACACGAAACGTCATCGTAAGGGCCCTCAAAAGTAGTCGTAAGGGGCTTCAGAGGTCACCGTTAGGGCCATCATAGTCCAGCGTGGCCAAACAAGTCTCCGTGGTGGCGTTCGGAGACCACTGTGGGGCCCTTATAGGTCTTCATGATGCTTGAGGGCCCTCGAGCCCATCGTGGGGACCTCAGATGCCAGTGCGGCCCGTGGAGCCAACGTGGGAGCCCTCAAAGGATGTCGTGAGGGGCCCTGGAACCAATAATGGGGCCAACAGAGGCCGTCGTGAGGGCTCTCAGAGTCAGATGCCGCCCAAAAAGTTGCTGTGTGGGCCGAGAGACCGGCATGGGGAGCACCCGACCGTACCGGACTCTCAATAGTCCCAGATCGGCATTTGTCTCTCATCACGGTATGTAATAAATGATTTGACGGGCTGCTTGAAGGACAGCCTACGGATTTAAGGGGGCGTCTTTCCCCATCAGGACAGGGGGCATCTTACCCCAAGGTACCGAAGTAACATTAAATCAGCACAATTTGTTAGCCATAAAACTACACCCTGAAACAAACTGTTTGGGACACAGTACACGCATGTTAATGTATCACGACTATAGCAAGGGACGCAAAAATTATCTACCTTCTTTGATATTTACAATGTTTTGACGCCAAAATATTTTTTGAAAGCAGCAAATAAAAAACATGCAATCACCAGCCAGCCGTTGCCCAACTGAGCTTCGCAAATTTTTGTGCAGTTAACAAGGCAGGCTTCCGCTTTACGCTAAGAACATTAATTTCCAGGTTCGATTCTTTGTTTCCCCGCTAGAGGGGGTGGGGCGTCTTTCCCACCCTGGGCATCTTACCCCACTCTCCCCTACCCCGACCAAACATTGTTTCTTGCGCCATCAAAGGAAGTAAAATTCACTCTGAGTGGGCTCAGTTTCGCATTTTGTCAATTTGGCGGTCAGCGTCGCTTGCACCAGTTCACGACAATGGCCGGATGTGAGATATACTCTAAATTACATGGAATATCAGCGTGGGTTTACTTGAGGCTCTCGTAGGCCCAGCATTGGCTGACATGAGACCCTCTTCAGCAGTGGCGGGTGGGCCCTGCCAAATGAGCGTGGCTCTACGACACTAAAGTACGACCTCATGGGTTTACGAATTGGGAATACGAATTGGGAATACGAATTTGCTCACAAGAACAGTAGGTAATGAGTCTTTTGAACATCTGCTTTTGATTGTTCAGAAATTGGCCCAGGGACTGATCCCTGTGAACCCATGAAACCACCATACCAAGCCTCCATGGAAGATCAGACCTCCTGGACGGCTGCTGTGCCAATGTAAAAGTGTTTGGCAGGCTTACAAAACAGCTAGGCAAGCAGAAGCTCATGGCAGAAGTTCACAAGAGGCTAGTAATGCTCTTGCCATGTTTTCATCCATGACCATCAACAAACATATAGGTACGGCACGGTAAATTGTGAAAGCTCTGACAAATTATGAAAAATCATTGATTGAGAAATGGAAAAGTAACCCAAAATTACTACGTGCATATATTCACTCAAAGAAGTCTGCACCAACGACAGCTAGGCCCTTTACCTTCCAGGCGGTGGGGGGGGGGGCATTTCCCCCCCCCCCTTAGTTTTTTCTCAATCCTATATCTCGTGAACCGTTGCGGCGATCGTCACCAAACTTTCAGTACCCTCCCGTGAATAGCTATTGCACATTGTGACAAAAAAATTTCCAAAGGCTATGATAGGTTGGACGCTAATGACGTCAGAATGACGTCATGTCTGCCATTTTCGACCCAAAAAAGGTTTCGCGAGAAGAACTGTCAGGCCTACAGCTTTAGAGATACAGAAAAATGTTTCAGACATAAAAGGTGTAGAATTTAGAGGGCTATAAAACTGCTATCTCGGATTTTTGATATCTTTTTTATTTTGACAGCTAAAAATAAAAAAATAGATTTTTTAAATATAATAGCCGAAAAATCCAAAAAGTTTTTTGAATTTCGAAACAACCGGAGGATATATGATAGTCCCGATCACCTTCTATCTACATACCAAATTTGAGATCGATACCTCTCTTATGGACAAGTTATAGCGTAAAAACTGTTCAAAATTGATGACGTCAAATTTTCGAACTCAATTTTTAGCAATTATAGACCTCGTAGCGCAAAACAAAGACCACTATTAGACTCCCCGTGACGAGCTGCATCGAATCAATACCCATTTTGTGCAAAAATATCAACTTTGAAATTTGACCTTTTACCTGACCTTGACCGTAAAAAGGTCA